CCGCAGACCCAGCAGGAAGGCTGTGCCTGGGTTTTCTCAGTCATAGCTGCCCAAGGGCTTTATTGGAGCAGCAGAGCTTGCTCTGGCAGCCCTGGCACCTGGGGCTGTTCTGAGCTCGGAGTGAGACAGTGATCTTCTACCCTGGGTAGGGATCCCTGGCGCCTGCATGGTACCAAGTGGGTTCCCTGGTAGTTGTAATTTGTGCAGGAGTGTGCTGTGCAAATAAGGTCTCACGATTTCCCTGTGGCTTTGGGTTATTCCAGTTACGAGTCAGAGCCTTCTGCAAGCGTGTCAGTAATGTTCAGGGAGCTAATCCCAGGAAAGAGGTGAAAAATAACCTTGAAAAGTAGTAGCTTAGTGTGAACAGTAGATACCTAGGCAATTCCCAGGGAAGTGTACAAACCTGAGCTGAGCATGTAACTTGTGTGTTCCTGTTCCTTCCCTCTTCTGTGGGATGAATCCCCAAGAAGAAGAGAGACTGTGACTCCCTGTGTCTTAGCCCTTCTGCCTATCTCCTCTCTCACCATCCTTGTCCCTTTGGGGTTTGAGGAGAGTAAATGTGAGCTCGCATCTGCTTCGGCTCTCCTTGAAAATTATCACCGGGAGGTGCTTGGCACAAGAGAAGTGTGTGTATGTGTAGCACACTAGTCTGATAACTAAAGCTTTTGCCTTCGATGAGACTGAACTTTCTGTTGAAGCCGATGGCTTTGTCTTGTGGGAGCGGAGGTCGAATGGATGCTTCTACGGTGCTTGCTTTGTGTGTCCTCTGCCGATGGTAGTGGTGTCAGGACTGACTGGAGCCAGGTCAGGAGCCAGGGCTCCTTCTCCTACCAGCACATCTGTGAGGCAGAATGTGCTGGTGAAACGGACTGGTTTCTGAAGGAAGCTGGAGGTGCTGAGGACTGTCCCTAGGGAATCTTCCTTGAGTGAACAGACACTCTGCCCATTGGGTTTTTAATTTTTTTTTTTTTCTTGACTGCAGCAATGGGGTTTGAAAAGAGAGGACACAGGAAACAGAAGCCAGTGCCCCTTTAATTCTGTGACCTGCAAAGTAATGCACATGGGAGCTCTCATAGAATCATAGAATTATTTAGGTTGGAAAAGACCTTTAAGATCATCGAGTCCAACCAATGATCCTCCTCCCTCTGTGCGTTGGAGTTCATCCATAAAATGTGTTTTCCTGGAAGCTAGTTTGCATCCTTGAAATACCAGTCTGATTTCTTCCTTAACACAGAATCTTTGTGGTGCAGTTGCTTCCCAGTCATCTCAGCTTGGACCGTGAGTGCTGGACAAGCTACCCCTTCGCTGGCAGCCTGCTGCTGCAAACGATAGCTACCGGGGGTTTGGCTTTGGTTACACTGGGTCAACTTGGGGATTTTGGTCTGACCGAGTGTGGCAGTAAATGCTGCTGTTCCTGAGGAGTGCCAGCAGCTTAAGTGGGCAAGATGAATGCAGCACAGGGCACATCCTGCTTTTAGTGAAATAGAGGAGACCTGGAAATGCAAGGGTTTTGCAGATAGCACTGAACACTGCAGCATCTGAGGCCCTATGCAGTTATGCAGGAGCTTACTGTCTGTGCTGACAGAGCCTGTACCTCCAGGGATGGAGGACAAAAAGCTTTCAGGGTGAACTGTCCTCTCGTTCTGTTCCTCTTCCCAGAATGTCACAGAGGCAGGAGAGTGCCCTGCTGAGTGCAGGCAGTAGCGCTGCTGCTGGGAGCAGTGAAGCTGCAACAAAGTGGGGTGGCTCTGCTGGGACTAACCATGGGGCCGCTGGCATATGGCTTATGCTGCTAAGGGATTTTGTCTTTGCAGAACTTCCTGAGAGCTGGGCTGATATGCAGGAGCCACTGCTTGAGGGGATGTGCTTCACGCTCAAGTATCTAGGCATGACGCTGGTAGAAAAACCCAAAGGAGAAGACATGGCTGCTGCTGCCATCCGCCGGATCGTTGCCACGGTGAGAGCTGGCCCTGGGGCCCTGCTGTGCTGGCGTGGAGAAGGGACAATTCTGAGCCCAGCCCCTGGACTCTGGGAAGTGTCCATGTCCCAGCCCCAACCCCAGCTAGGGACTGTGCTGTTCCCAAGAGGGAACATTCCCAAGAGGTGGCATGCAAGAGGCTGGCTGGTCTCTGCCCATGTGCTGTGGGGAGGCTGTCTTTCTGCAGGACAGCCGTCGCTGCCTGCTCCCAGGCCAGGAACACGGGTAGGAGCAGAGCTGTGCCTGTCACAGCATGGAGATGAGGGTGAAGTACTGGGGTCTGTCATTTCCCATACGCATGGCAGTAGTGTGAATGGATTCCAGGGGTGATCTTTGCACAGCATGCCTGATCTCCAGGCTCTGCTTTCCCATCCCTACAGCAGGAGCCTTTGCAGCAAGGGTCCAAGAGGGTGGCATCCCATACAGAGTCTGGGGGACTGCTGCCAGGGAGGGGGGGTGAAGACCCTTGCCTGACTTGCAGAGGTGTCTGGTGTCTCCCCACTTCCAGGCACGGGTGGGAGCTCGCAAGTTCCAGAAGGTGATTCTGACGGTGTCTCCGAGGGGCATCTCGCTGCAGGATGCAGACACAAAGGAGATGGTTGAGAACATCTCCATCTACAGGTGGGCATGGTGTGGGGAGGGCCTGGGTGTTCCCCAGTGTCGTGGTTG